ATGACCAATTATATTTTTTAATTGACGAAAAATTTTCAAAAGTTCCAGACGCAAACTGTAAATATATACAATTTTTAAAAGAATCAACATCAAAACTAAACCTAATACAACCAGTATTGATTCTACATAAATATGCATTTGTCGAATTTGGAAACATGAAAGCGGTTTCTAAATTCCCAAATCTTTGGGAACGGAACTGAATTAAATTGAATTAAGATATCCAAGTTGAATAAAGAATGTCTTTTATTTCGTGTACTTTATATAAGAATATTTATATAGGAAATGCTGGAGTCCTAAGAATTGTCACTTATCGACTATCAACAATCATTTGCAACCGGTTGAATTAGGATAAAGCCGACTATTTTGCATATTGTATGAATTCTAATCATTGAATTGGATTTGAAAACGATTGAAAGTCGGTTGACGATCCATTAAGAATCGGATATAAATCGATTGTTAATCGATTGAAAAACGGCTGGTAATCAGTTGAAAAACGATTGATAGCTGATTTACAATCTTTGCCAGGCGTTTTTCAACCGGTTTCAATCGTCTTTTAATCGATTTCCAATCATAAATGTCCCAAAATAATCGATTTCCAAACGTTTAGCAATCGGTTGTATGGCCAATTGTTTTTTCTTCACAAGGGACATCACCCAGTACTTGAAACTGAAAGTGTTCGAATTGAACACAGACGGAGAAGAGGGCGCAGAGAAATTTTTGCCAAGTGACATCGAAAGTGTTGTGAAACTGATTATCAAACAAAAAGACATCAAAGTGCCAATTCGCGATCCAAACAAACTCGATCTTGAGAATGTTCCTATCTATGCAAAGAGAGATAGAAGAGAACAATTCGACGTGGCCACATCAGCACCGACCCAAACGGAAGAAACGAAAGCGCAAAAAGTCAAAGGGGACATGCAAGTGGTATCTCAAGCACAAATAAATGCTCGACGATCCGAAGTGTCGGCCATTCATACGGAATTTAGCAGTGTCACCGATGTGTGATTTTCCCTGAAAGCATTTTAAAATTGACTGTTCGAACATGCATGAAATCGAGAATAAAAACGGAAAAACAAGCATAGCAAATATTTTACCAAAGAAAAAAGAAGTTTGACTTTTCCATAAACACCGATGGAATCGCTGTATCTCTGCAGTACTCGGCCAAGAACAAGACAAATAACGAAGAAATTGATCGTTCTCGTCGCATCGTTCAAATGATTATGGATGGCAAATTCAAAAATTTCGTGAGCATTGATACCGGCGTGCGGAGTTGGAATACCACAGTAACACACAACATTAAAAATGGCAAAGAAGTAAGTTTTGTATACATTTATGTTACCTGCTTAAGTGCCAAAATTCAATAACTATTCATTTTTTTTTCAGATCAACTTTGTAATGTCGAGCAAGCAGTTCCACTGGCAGACTGGTCAAAATGTGCGAAATGCCAAAGCAAAGCGTTGGACCAAAGATTTCGTCCAAGAGGAGCGCCGAGACAGAGAAAACCGTGAAATTTACCCAGTGATGCCATCGCCAAAAGGGTCACAGTGGCTGAATTACATAAAGCACCGAGTCAAGATGATGAAGCATGAAATCTGCGCTTACTCGACTGCCAAGTACACTCGACTCGCCTTGGACAAACACATCAAAAGTAGTGTTGTCGATAATTTGGTGGAAAAGGTTACCGATAAGCAGCCGACTGTGTTCTTTTTTGGTGCTGATGGCAAAATACCACCTGACAGCTCAATAAAAATCAAAAAGCACGTGCGCGTCCAGGAGTTCGTAAGACTTTGAGGTCAATAAAGAAGCGCCGAAATTTTGTCATAGATCTGGTGGACGAATGGGGAACATCTCAAACAGACGCAAGATGTATATGCCAATTCCAAACCCAGAACAAAGCGGCCAGATTCAAGAGATGCCGGTGCATACCCGACGCCAGAACATTGCTGCCAACAAAAATTGTGTCAAAGTTGGGTAAGACGGATCTATCGGTATTCCGACAGTTCCAACTAAACGGCGTCCGGCGCCATGAACGAAGCATTGGAAGAAGACGAGCCTCTATTGTCAAAAGTAAAAAGTTACTATAAAAACTGGAAATTAAACCCCGAATGCTCTGTGACTTGGCATCGTCAAAGGTAAGGCTAATTGACGCACAATTGCGATTGAATGATTGTTTAAGAAGATTCATTTGTTTGATTTTTCAGGACTATGGACATTGATGGGACTTCCGATACCGGAGGCGATCAATAGATATTTGTACAAGGCCCACGAAGCTGTTGCTGAGGCCTCCGAAGTAGTCGCTGCTGTCGCTGAAGCAGCCGCTGCTGCTGCTGCTGCCGCCAACGTAGATAATGATGTAGAAATGTTCGAATACGATCAGCCCGCTGATCATGCTGTCTAATCAGCACAACGCAAACAACTCAACATCTTTTTCTTCGGAAAGTGTCAATATCAATCGATGTTTAACTTTATTGCTACGATTTGAAACAGAATTTTATGGTCTTTAAATTGAAACATACCATTTCTTTATTTACAGATATGAAAAACACCCTATGTATTTCCCATTTAAAATTTTCCGTTTTAATTTGCAAGTTCTATTTGTCTTTACCAAATTAAATTGACGGCTTTGAATTGTATGAGTCACAAATAATGCCATTTCAATCCCACACCAAAATGTGACAATTGTCAGTCTGGATGTAAATAAACAATTTGGGACATATATCAGTTGCACACAATGTTTGACAGCAAAGAGGGCACCAGTTGTATCCGACAAATTCATTTCATGGCTGATTCAAAATAAGCTCGTTGAAAATACTTGGAAAATCTTCTTTTTCAATTTCAATAGTACTATCTTTCCTTATTGTTATGAATTTTGCTGAAAATCTGTATCTTTTGATAAATTCTATAACATTTAATAACAATCTTCATATTGTTTTTAATAACAACCAATTTTAATCATATTTGAATACTTCATATTTATTTAATCAAATTAATAAAACTTTATATGTTTACAATGAACAATTTACGCTGAAATAACATGGAATTATGTAGTGGAACTTATTTCATTGCTTTTTTCACTTAAATAAAGGATCTTTATAAAGGTATAAGACACATTACTTATTGATTCGTACATATATGATACATGCTGTATTCAAACATTGTCAATTTAAACATTGACATTTTTATATACATATGGTTTTTACGTCAAAGTGAAAATGCCACACAAACATAAACGGTGCTAATTACAAATTACTAATCAATTACTCTACAATTCCTGATCCAAGCTTTCGATTCATTTTCCATTCTGTTCCATTTATTATTGATTAATTTCCATGTTTTCCATTCTTTTCTTCTGGTCAACTCTGGATATACAACTTTCATCGTCTTTTTATAATCAATCAAAATCAATGATTTAAATGTTATGTTCTCCACATGAAACCAATCCTTTTTAAATAGGCATCATACATATATTATCTGGGGACGTACACAAAACCTATCTATGCAAACATGCTAATATACCGAGTGGTTAAACAAATTTAGTTTATTTATCAAGAGAAATAATATTTTTCCCACAAATGTCATTAGTTGTCCCTACCGGAATCTGCTGTAAAGCAAGTTATATATTGATTATTGTATTACATGTTGTATGATATTTATTTACGAGGGTTGCTCCATAATTTTTTTTAAAAACATATATAACACAGTTGTTTTTTGTCGAAAATGGTTTTATTGTTTTTCAAAATATTCCCCGAGATGATCGATACACTTTTGCATTCGATGAAACCATTTGTCATAGCATTCGTGCCACTCCGAAACTGATATCTCCAAAACGTGTGTTTTGAACGCTTCAACTGCTTCTTCTGGTGTCGAAAATCGTTGACCACGTAGTTTTTTCTTCACGCTTGGGAACAAAAAAAAGTCATTGGGTGCCAGGTCAGGACTGTACGGTGGATGACCCATCAGTTCGATGTTTTGACCGGTCAAAAATCGAGTAGTTTGAAAAGATGTGTGAGAGCTCGCATTATCGTGATGAAGAATTATTTTGCGACGGTGGTTGTTTTTTCTTATTTCACCAAACACTTCGGGCAAACAAATGGTGGTATACCAATCAGAATTGACGGTCTTACGATCCTCTAGTGGAACGGTTGCCACATGACCACTTCTCCCGAAAAAACAGGCGACCATTCGCTTCGAAGTGCTTCTTGCTCGAACAACTTTCGTTGGGTTATCTTCATTTTGGAAGACCCATACAGTCGACTGCTGTTTCGTTTCGGGCTCATAGGCATATATCCACGATTCGTCACCAGTGACGATTTTATTAACGTCTTTTGAAGCACCGTGATTGAATTTCTTGAGCATTTCTTTACACCAACTCACACGAGCCATTTTTTGTTCATCGGTCAATTTATGTGGGATCCAACGAGAGCAAATCTTTTTTACGGCTAAATGTTCATGCAAAATTGTATGTATGCTGTGGGATGAAATGCCCAAAGATGCCTCAATCTCACGGTAGGTCACATGACGATCTTCCATAATCAGTTTTCTGACAGCATCGATGTTTTGTGGCACAACAGCCGATTTTGGACGACCTGTATGAAACTCGTCTTTGAGCGAACTACGACCGCAACGGAATTCTCGGTACCAGTTATAAATTGTCTGAAGGGTTGGTGCTTCATTGCCAAAGGCCAAATGAAGTCGATCGAAACACTGTTGTTGAGATAATTTACTTCGAAAATCGTAGTAAATCATTTTACGAAAATCTTCAAGTGTAAAATTCATTTTTTTGTTGAGTCGCAGTTTACCAGTCACTGTAAACAATACAAATAGCGTTCGTACGACAAAAGGTTCAGGGCACGAATACATACCAAAACATCAAACTTTACGAATATGACAATGGTTTACATCGGGCAACACTATAAGTACCATTTTAAAAAAAATTATGGAGCAACCTACGTA